CGTTAAACGTCCACTGTATCCTCTCTGCATCCTCTGGGCATCCTCGCAACTCACATCCGCTCCAGCTGAAAACGGAAAGAGGGAGGAAAGATAAGGTACATGGAACGTCTATACATCTTTAGTAGCACGGAAATAGAACGGATGTAAGCGTATGCATCTCGTATATAAAGTTTTCAAAACGGACAAAGCGTTTGTATCTGGGATGTATCTGGTATATTGAAGGATGTCTGGAGTTTGCCTAACCCCTTCGGAGCTGTCATCCACTTCCATCCGCTTTCATCCTCTAGGCTTCCGATGAACATCCATTTAACATCCCCGCTACATACTTCTCACGTTCGTTCTTTTCCGTTCTGTTTTCGCAAATTTTCGTCCATTTCTGGAGCGGATGAAAATGGATGGAGCCACCCCCGAAAGTTTGCTCGTCCGCTGTGTCCTTTTTGCATACGTTTTGTGTCCATCGGCAACTGGGACCGGGCCTTAACAACCGAGGGGTGAGAGGTCTATATCAGGCATACAAACGATGTGAGATTAACAGCAAAACACCCTTTTCTTCAAAATGAATTATTCCTATAGTTATCAGGTTAATACACGTGTGTGCAATTTATACGAAAACACGTCACATTAAATTCTTATACGGCATTTAGTAATTGAACATATAATATAAAAACACAAATTTATATGGAAAACAATCACTGATTTTATTTCACACTACGTTTCAACAAGTTCCACTTGTCGTTCTCAAGTAAGTATTGACAGTATAATAGCAAGAAATCAAGTTATATGCAACAAGGTAACAAAAACAGTAACTATTCTGAAACTATCAAAGGGCTAATACAAAGAACAATAATAGAATTTCTGTTGCTGATTTCGATTTTACTGGGGTTTTTAGTATTAATCCTTTTGGTATTAATCCTCTATTCCTGCGTCGTATCAGAAAAGTTCTAAACTTGACTGTATATTCTTCAACATGCATGCAGTCCACGGAGTCTGATGACGAAGTGCGCCAAACTGCTGAAATGTTTTTCCGAGAGAGAGAGAGAGAGAGAGAGAGGAGGGGGAATAGGGTTTAACGTCCACTCGACACAAACTAGGACATTTTGGGACTAACACATGGTTCAAATGTATTCCAATAATTCGCTTGCGCGTAGGGGTCTTTAGGAGTGGGAGGAAACCCACGAGGATGGAAAGGCCACCCTACTCCTTGTCACGTACAACCGGGAATCGAAACCCCGCCAGTTGACTCAATGACAGACCGTATGATACAGCGCGCACGTGCTAACTATTCGGCCATCCAACTCCACGAGCAGGTGATAGGGATATGCATGGAGATTAATGTCGCTATATTAACCTCTGATGCTGTCACAAGCATCAAATAGATAATTACACCGTGATTTGTATTTCCTAATTATATCTCTTTTCCGTAATATACATGTAACTTTAAGTATGTGCTATAGTATCTATCCAGTATCCAGTTACTGTTACTAAAATGCAAGATGTCAAGCTGTAATGGGTTAGGGGAGGCAACTCCATTATCATAAAGAAACACTGCTTTAAGGATACAGACCACAATAGACGGCACTATTCCCTATTAATCACCCTTCATTTTATCTCTTTATTTCATAATTCGTCGAGCATTTTCAGGACTTCAGAACATACGACTATGACGCTTTCTTCCAGTTCCAAAATTTTTTCCAAAATCTGATCGACATTTTACATTCAAACCTAGGCCAAGACGTCAAATGCCCCCCCCCCCTCTCAAATGGAAAATATCACTTGAATTCAACTTAGTTTTCAACGCTAATGACAGATTGCGATCTTGATTACTTCTTGATTATATTGCAGTCGTTGTTGTTTGTATTTTAGAGGAGAGCCAAAAAAAAAAAAAATCTTCCCTCAATCAACAAATGGAAAAAATCGCTCCCCTAAAAAAAGCTCTTCCAGTTTTGATAAGAAGAGTGATTTAGAAATTAAGGAGAGTGATCTGATATTAAGAAGATTGATTACTTGTGTGTGTGGGAAATAGTTCTGAAGATCAATAACTGCATGTAATGGGGTCAGTCCTGGTTTCTTAAATGATAATAAACCCCCAATGACTTTGTAAAGGAGATCGATTTTCAATTTTAAGGGGCAGGAAAAAAAGCCCTCCCCTTGGTCGACATTCAGGTGAGCCCTAAAAAAACAATGACTGATATTGTCCATCTAGAGTTATACATACACCGTGCTTGCGATATGCTACAAATCGGCTATATCGTGTTCCATTGATTCTCTTCAACTAAACAAATAGGGCATATTGGAGTTTTGTGTCTCCATGGAAAATCGGTAGTCACCTTGCCCTGAAATTTGCAAGTACCCGATGTATATGTGTAGTCAGCACCAGCGAAGATCTTTATATAGTCAACAACTATTCAGCTATATACCCAGTGTATTGTTTTTGTTGGTTTTTTTTGTTGTTTTTTTTTCTCAGACAAATATAAACCATATGTTAGTCGATTCGTTACGAGGTCCGCGGTATTAATTGAAATGGATGGAGTTTAACGTCCTACTGTTCTGTCCCGACTGGGCTAATGAAGACGGATATACACCATACAGTGTACTGTGAAGGAAATTGTGATCGGACACCGGCGCTACGGCATTCTCACATATCAAATTCAAACTGCCAAAGGATCCTTTACGTGCACGCCAATGTGTACATGGGACCTCGGTTTTTCATACCATTCGAACGACTGCAGCACTGACAAGGGGGAAACCACGCCGGAAAATCCCGATGAACGTTTTCAGCCAACACCGGGATCGAAACCGCGACCTATAAGCTACCGAGCCAGCGTCTTCCCCACTTAGCCACCTTGGCTCCCCGCGGTATTAGATCGATATGGAACTTGTCTCTAGACTTTAATGTCCCAGGATCGAATCCCGACGTAGTCCTGGGGAAATCTCGGGTTCATACTTTCCATGGGTAGCTAACAATTCAAGTGTTGCCTAGTCGTTTGGACGAAACTTTAAACCCCATTACTTTCCGTTACCCACACGCCAATGTGTACACGAGATCTCAGTTTATCGCCCCTTCGGAAAGAATAAAAACTGTGAGGGGAAACCTCGCTTGAAAATTCTGAGGTACTGTCTCGGCAAACACCGCCTTAATAACTCAGCCACCGGTTTTTTCTTCTCTTCAGTTGTATTATGCATTTACTTTTAAAGATGCGTTCCCGCGTACAAACTGTGTGATGTGATGATATATTTGGATTAAAACATATTCAAAATAATTAATCTATCAAACAATTTCATCAAATCCCTCTCAAAATTTTGTATTCGCGAGGAGATACCCCAAGCTATAAAAAAAAATCTATTTTTAGAGGCCATACTTGTCACATAACTTGACTGAGGGAGGGCCCATTTTTCAGAATGTATTTGTCATTACTGCCTGTCCATTTACCATACATATTGAGACCTAAGAAAATTCTTGAATTATTTTCTGCCAACTTCCTTTTCCGCCGTTTAATTATTGCAGTGTCTGTTATACGTTTACAACACTCAATGCCACCCCCCCCCCACCAAACCGCCTAACCATTCGATAAAGACATAACAACCGCTCCCTAAGTCAAGCCGACAGATAATAAGCCGTCGTGTTGCCATTTAGTGATACCATGACATATTTGCTGGGTGCTTTTCGGGTAATCCAGTACTATTTTTATGGCAATATTGGGTGTCTATACTTTCCATGTATACCAAATTTGCCATACTTCTATTGGAAATAACCATCCGATAAATACATTCGTGAGAATGTGTCTTTAAGTAAATCCATGATACAACGGAAGAAATACACACGGATAACTTGGTGACATTACGGGTAATAACGTTTGTTTTAATTATTAGTTATTTGGTAGAATGATGGTAGCTAGAGATGCTTTAATCACCATTTATTCTCTCGTCTAGACAATAACATCAATAAATCAATCACCTAGTTCAAATTACACTATCTCTACCATACCATTGTGTCAATAACAATTAGTCTTCTATTAACACTATCTCATCCTAATAGAAGAATATTTGATTCTACAGTACTGAAGGACTTTTACACACCATGTGATGAGTGACAATGTTTACCAAGCTTAAAGTAGCTAAGTCTCTAACTCAATATCATCCAAAGTATTCGACATTGAAAACACGAATCAACATTAAGGTTGTGATCTTACCGCGAAAAGACGGGCTTCTGATATCTAATATTTAAGACAAAATAAACATTTTACCATTGGTACACGAATCGTGTACCATGCATGCGTTTCAGCGCCATTTGTAACAAGGGACTCGAAGAACGAATCTAGACATATTCCACTAGTCATGTCAAACTGTGACGTCATATTTATCTGGAGACCATGCGCAATAAATAGTATCGGTGTAGACTGGAATAACTAGACGCTAGAGATTGCCATTCGATTGAAACTTCTGGTGTATTTCGCCGAAGATAACCGATTTGAAATTAGAGTAAAAACGGAAATGATTGAATGTAATTCAGTTTATATACATTCATATTGCATTATTATATGCGTTGCGACCCATTTGTGTCAATCTCTAGGTCCCAAATATTAGCGATTTAGCTCCTTTAACATCTCAGAGCCCTCTATTTCATGGATGAGCGTCGTCACTGCTTTCATTCGCTAACAGAGTGTTAATTAAAAGCTAAAACCTCTTCTACGACACATTTTGAAAAAAGAGCTGTATAAGACCGCCCGTCCCCTTGGAATTTGTCTGTAGGAAACCGCGCCAACACCGATTTATAGGACCTGCGAAATATGAGAAAAGTTTAGGATCAGAGATGTAGGCTAAAAAAAACCCCAAACAACAAATAGGTTCGGTCGGGTAACCGTAAACCAAGGTTTAATTGATTTTGACCTGATAGGTAGGTAGGTAGGTAGGTCCAAGAGTGTCGACATAGAACAAAGGTTAAGATAAAGAAATTGCTTTGTTATTATCAGAGATTAACTGCTATTATCTTGGGTAGTGTTGTGCAATTACACTAAAAAATTGACTATATATACACTATAACAAATTAGCTGATGTTAAATAATTTGGCGAGAGTGACGAAGGAATCGGACCACTGAACAAAATGAAGATTGTATTAATAATTGCTGCGGTTATCGGTAAGTTACGTATATACATGTATACTAACAAATATTATTATAAAAATTTTTTTAGGAGGGGATGTGGGGTGTGGGTGGATGGCCGAATGGGTAGCGCGTGCACGCTGTATTATAAGGTCTGACATTGAATCAACTGGCGTGGTTTCGATTCTCCGGTTGTAATTGACGTGGGTTTTCTCTGGGTCCTCCGGTTTCCTCCGACTGCTAATTAAAGACCCCTAAGCGCAAACGTATTATTGTAACACAACTGAACCATGTGTTAGTCCCGAAATGACTTAGTATGTGTCGAGTGGACGTTAAACTCCACTTCTCTCTCTCATTATTATTATTTTTAATTGGTTGTCCTGAATAATTTATTATAATAGGTGCATGTGGGACCAGGTAGGATAGCCATCTGAAGGGAAGAGAATACCTTTAGTGATTTTCAACCTCGGTCCTCAATGAATGAGTATCGTCCGCGGCTCTGACAGGTAAAATGTTGCCCAGTTGTTCGCAGGTTTAACCATGTACACGTACCAGAACCCATAGCGGTTAGAATTCGATGGGAAACGGACTGAACGAGCCAAATTAATAGCGTCTAAGTTACGAATATAAACCAAAAAAGTAATTTTTTTTAAGAAATGACTGTCCTGAATAACATATACAAGTGTGTGTAGGATTTATCAACGTGGGACCAGGTAGCTGTGAGGGTGGCGAAAAGACCCCCTCTCCTAAAACGTGTTAAAAATAAAATGAACTATATAAAAAAATAATAAAAACAGCCCCGATCTAACTTCAGGTATCGATATACTTACATGAAATTCGGTCGGAATTGGTGTGGGAAGGTCTGTTATTGAGTCAGCTGGCGTGGTTTCGATTCCCGGTTGTACGTGACAAGGAGTAGGGTCGCCTGTCCAACCTCGTGGGTTTTCTCCGGGTCCCCCTGTTTCCTCCCACTGCTAAAGACCCCTACGCGCAAGCGAATTATTGAAATAAAATTTAACTATGTATTAGTCCCGAAATGACCTAGTTTGTGTCGAGAGGACGTTAAACTCCATCCCTCTCTCTCTCTCTCTCTCTCTCTCTCTCTCTCTGGTTCGGGATTCAGAAACGATGCCTATATATCGACGACCCAACCAATTATACTCAAGTGAAAATGGTTCGGAATTCAGAAACTATGGCTATAATATTGGTAGGAAATTTGTTATTAGTCCACATCCTGAATACGTGATTTCTGATTATTCAAGTGAGATTCGTTCAGGATTAAGAAACTATGCCTATTATATTGATAGGAAATTCTGAATATGTGAATTCTGAATACCGGATGTTGGACTACCGAACCAATCTTGCTTGTATTTTTCGATATATGAAGTAAGATCGAGGTTCAGTATTCGTGGCTGATTATAGGTGGAGGTATAATAATTTTTGTATTTTATCTTTTATAATTAAACAGCAAGTGAAAGTGTCAACTTTACCACAGCTACCTGTGACGTGGATCGACAGTTAACTGAGTGCATGCCATTCGCTAATGATATGATTAGTAAATCAGACTTAGATGGAAAATGCAAGTAAGTCAGCTTCTTTAGTCAGAGGGGAAAGGGGTGGGGGTGGGGGTGTTGGTACTGTCATAGAGTCAAGTGCCATGGTTTTGATCTCGCTTGTACGTGTCACAAAGTAGAGAGGCCTTCCGACCTTGTAGGTTTTCTTCGGGTCCCCCGGTTACCTCCCACAGCTAATGTCTCCTACGCAAAACCGACACATTGAAACGAAATTGAACAGTATGTTAGGCTCCAAAATAACCTAGTGATTTTAAATAATTTGAAAATAACTGTAACTCTAAAAGCGGACTTAATAAAAGCTTGCACATATTTCGATGACCATTATGATTTTTAAAAAATACAAATTTGATATACCTTTTACCTTTTCATTTACCCTTTTAAGAGCCTGGCAGGGACTTGGGAAATGTTTGGTGAGATTAGATTGTTTCACTGGAGATAGTAAGGACGTGTATGATACTGGTACAGCCATTTGCGGTAAGTTTGTTCCAGATATACGGATTAGCTGACGCGTAATGGGTTGGGTGGGAAATAATGATTAATATTTTTACCAGTCTATACATGGTTCTATATCAAAATTTAGAGAGTTACTTCTGTCTTCTGCGTTTCTATCTGGTTGTGTGTTGTGTGGTTCTCCTGTAATTACTATTAAGGTTTAAACAAGAGAGAGAGAGAGAGAGAGAGAGAGATCTTATGATCCAAAGGGCACGCATTAGCCATTCGGTCAACAAGCCGCATTAACGATATTAAATTAGATTTACTACTGTTCTCGTGGACAAGAAATTAACGGTCCATAGAATAAATATTAATGAAAGTTTAAAACCTACAAACATTTATTCCAGGTGATTATAAACCCAAACCTAGTAATAATCAACCCAAACCCGGCAGTGGAACTAAAAACGACCCATCTTCGGGTGCAACGACCATAGTGGCAAACGTATCGTCGGCCCTGTTTCTCACTGTATTTGCTTTTTATAAAAACTATTTTTAAATTTACTAAATTCAAAGTTAAATATTACTCCTAAAGTTAATTTAAGGGAATAAAACTACAATTGTTTGAACACTAATCTGGTAGTATAAATGTATTTTCTTAAATTAATTTCACCTCTATTAAACATACATTATGCAAGAGATAAATCTGCCTATTTGCAGGTCTTTCTTTAGGTTAGGCCTGAAATGTTATCTAAATTATTAATTAGACATTAATTAACTTATACAGACCATAATTAACCCTCGATGGCATCACTAGCCTGCGATGTTTATTGGATTAGGTTCCGATTTGTTTCGACTTCAATTCATAATTTAATTATTAAATGGATAACCGAGACTATGTTTTATATCCTACCGACTTTAGTAATGATGATCAAGGCTAGGCGAAAAATTCATTCGCTAAAATCTCGGTTCATAGTGGGTCAATTTGACTGAAATTTTCAGCAAATTCCCTTTACAGTATCTAGTTTTTAACTATCATAGTGAGAACTGCCAGCTCTTTATCTAATCTGCCATAATGTATGTTTAATGTAATTAGAAGCTTAATGTTCTAGAAAGTCTATGATTTATATATATTTTTTATTTACAAATGATTGCTATTATTTTTTTCTGAAATTATTAAAATAAATATATTTACATCTATTTGCCCTATACGGTAATTTGCTTTGTTCGAATTAATGTTCTAGAAAGTCTATGATTTATGTATATTTTTTATTTACAAATGATTGCTATTATTTTTTTCTGAAATTATTAAAATAAATATATTTACATCTATTTGCCCTATACGGTAATTTGCTTTGTTCGAATTTGTTATCCTTCTATATTTAACCTTCATTCGTACGAGTTAGGAGCTGCGGTGGCTAAGTGGGTAAGACACCCCTAAGCACAAGCGAATAAATGAAATAAAACTGAGGCATATGTTAGTCCCAAATGACCTAGTTTGTGTCGAATGTACGTTAAACCCCATTCCCCTCTCTTATAGAAACAGGTTATGTTTTTTATTTCTTCATATAAATTATGTAACATTATGTTTTATTTATACTGCAAATGAACATAGGCCATGCCCGTTCCCCAACCCTTTTCGAAATCAAGTAAATAGTGCTACACAGTTTCAAACGATATATCTTCCATTTCAATGGCCTCTTACAAATTCATCCATTTCAAGACCGCAATAAAATGATATAAGAACGAGGGATCTATGACAAGCAAATCCACATAGAAACCTTTGAAAATAACATTGATATAATATATGATCAATTTTCATTTCTAATTAATCATCGAATAAATCAATTATATAATAAATCATATGTTTAATTATAAAACGTATCTCTAATTTACCATATTCTGATCGCGATATCCTGTATCTTTCAAATACAAGTGAACAGAAATGAAAAGAAATGAGGTTTAACGTCCTACTGTTCTGCTCCGAACTGGGCTAATGAAGATGGGCATACGCCATACAGTGTGCTATGAGGGAAATTTTGCCCGGACAGCGGCACTATGGGATACACTTATATAGAATTCCAATTGTCAAGGGATCTTTTACGTGCACGCCAATGTATACACGGGACCTCGGTTTTTCGTCCCATCAGAGCGACTAGACAGCTGTCTTTGTCAAACCCTCCGTCCTGCATTACTGGCAAGGGGGAACCACGTCGGAAAATCTGGATGAACTTTCTCGGCCAATGCAGGGATCGAACACCCGACCTCCAGGCTAGCGAGCAAGCGCCCTTACCCACCTAGCCATCTTTCAAATACATAAAACAATAGCTAAAATAAACAGTGATTTTCTAGAAAGAAAATATTCATTGAAACAATAATTTAATATATAGTTTTTTTTAAAAAGAAAAATGTGTTAGATACGTACACTAATCTAACCGGGAGTGGTATCATGTGTTCTATAAAGGGTAAGCATACCCTGTCGCATACCCGACGTCTATCACTATTTACAAATTGAGCCAGTTCTTGGGTTTCAGAAGTTGGTGGATGCTGTGTTTATATGTGAACTGCCCAAACAGGAAGTAGTATTCAATATATCAACACCGTAAAGTTAATATCGTTCACTTATGAACAAACTATATTTACAAATGAAAAATGTGCCACCAAATAATCAAAGTCAACATTTAATATCCATAATGTTTACTGATGAGTCAAAATGGTTGATAATTAAGCAGGTGTTCTATTATGTCACTAACGGAATGATTTGCTGGGGGGGTTGGATGGCTGAATGGTTAGCGTGCGCGCGCTGTATCATAAAGTCTGTCATTGAGTCGATTGGCGTGGTTTCGAATCCCCGGTTGTACGTGACAAGGAGTAGGGTCGCCTGTCCAACCTCGTGGGTTTTCTCCGGGTCCTCCGGTTTCCTCCCACTGCTAAAGACCCCTATGCGCAAGCGAATTATTGAAATAAAATTAAACCATATGTTAGTCCCGAAATGACCTAGTTTGTGTCGAGTGGACGTTAAACCCCATTTCTCTCTCTCTCTCACATCTCTTTCTGTCGAGTTTGCGTATATAGAAATAGTCGGCATAATTTAATGGCAACAATTGTCGACTGCACATAAGTCAGGAGCATCAGATTCAGAGTGCAGATCAACAACAAAGACGAGAGAGAGAGAGAGTGAGAGTGAGAGAGTGAGAGAGAGAGTACCAAGAGAAAAGCCACAAGGTTGGACAGGCGACCCTACTCCTTGTAAAGTACAACTGGGGAATTGAAACCAAGCCAGTTGACTCAATGATATGATCTTATGATACAACTCGACACAAACTAGGTCATTTCAGGGCTAACACACGGTTCAATTTTATTTCAATAATTCAGTTGTGCGCACAGGGGTGTTTAGCAGTGGAAAAAAACCGGAGGACCTTGAGAAAACCCACGAGGTTGGACAGACGACCCTACTCCTTGTCATGTACAACCGGTGACTCAATGACAGACCTTATGATACAACGCGTACGTTCTAACCATTCGGCAAAATGTCCCTCATAACCCACTGCTTATTCCCTACTTTGCCCATTGCATATCTCATTGCATGATCCACTGCATAGCCCACTGCATAGCCTATGTCATTTATCATTAGCCCGTTTGGTACAGAAAAATAGGATGTCATTTACCCGAAACGGTTCATATGATTTGGGGAAATTTTCGCTATGAATTTCGCGTGGAAGCCGTTAATTCTAGAAAATGCATTTCAAGCGGGAAAAAAATCCCTGTTGTAAGGAAAGTGTGATTGCAGGAATCGTTTTCTTGATTCATTTACGGATCGAGATCTAGTCAATTTTAAGCAGAGTTATTGCCCATGTTACTGAAACCTTATAAATCCCCTACAGCTCAAGTATTTCGACAGCTCGATTGTCTACGATATCACCTTAGGTGGAAGTGGACGTAAAACTCTAGGAACGAACGAACGAACAGATATTTCGCATGTGGCCTTTACATATCATGAGATTCTTCAAAACATTAGTTGTATATAATTTGTTGCCTGGTAATTGCCCCTTTTCAAATCAGTCTGATGTTTGTATTTAATGTTTAATGTAAATTATGTTTCTGCGTTTGTATACACATCACTCTCTATATATTATTGTCGTTTTTTTTTATTATTCTAATGAAAACGTTGTGGTCTGGTAAATAGTGAATATAAAATGTGATTATGTCTGGAAGCTCGGGGCAAATTAAAGCAAAACATTAAATTCTAAGATTTAATTAGATTCATCCTATAAAAAGAAAACTTCTGATGTCTGTCCTGCATCAATTGAACTCTTATTTGGATATGAATTATTCATTTATTTGTTATCCTTAGACAAATACACTCACTTGTATAATATAATAAAGACAATACAGCATATCTATGGGGCGATAGGTAATTAGACTGCAGATGAATGTCCGACCTTTCAGTCACGGACGTTTCTCAGACAAAGTTTCAAACCCTAACTCTTGCCCTAACCAGTTAGCAATGTGCGCAATACGGTTTACCTTGCAGCCAAAACCTTATCTACGAACATTTTAAAGTTAACACTCGCGACTGTCTATGCCCTTGCGGTAGAAGTCTTCTGACTGGCCCCTCAGCCACGCCCCAGTAGCTGCCTTGAGTTCATCATCATCATGTTTATGTTGTTCAAAGCCACATTGTTGAAGTGCAGTCTGTGCTCTGGAACGTTGTCATGAAGAAGCATAACGCCAGCAGTCAACATGCCGCGCCTCTTCGTCTTGATCGCCGCTCTCAATTGCTTCAACAAGTCAGCATAGTAGGCTCCTGTTATTGTAATTTTAGGTGGTTTATAGTCTATAAGTATCACGCCCCTTGAATCCCAGAAAATGGTCGCCATGAACTTCTTGGGTGCAGGAGAGTGCTTATGCTTCCATTGCATGGATTCTTGCTTGGTGTCGGGATCCCAGTGATGAATCCACGTTCCATCTCTTGTAACCAGACGGGCATGAAAGTTATCGGGATCAGCATTGTAGATGTCCAAGAGCTCACGACTTTATTCAACTCTCTGGTGTCGATTTTGTGCACTTAAGTTTCGTGGCACCCATCTAACAGACACCTTGGACATGTGCAAGTGCTCATGAATTATGGTGCAAACACTTCCGTGAGAAATGCCACACTGAAGATATCTCGTCCACCTTTATTCTACGATCGGACATGATTAAGCCCTGGGCCCGTGCAACCATATCATCTGTAATGGTTTCAACGGGCCTTCCTGGCCGTGGGTCATCGTCCAAGGAGCTGCGACCCCGCTTCATTCCCATACACATTGGTCATACGTTTAGGTATTTCGGTGTCATTCACCTCTTCTTTCGTGAGAAACTTGATAACCGCACGATGCTCAGTTTTAGAACTTTCCATGATTACAGGAGGGTACCTGTGTTCAACAGGCTGTATATCTCAAGTAAATGATCGGGAAGGGTTGTTTATGTCTGTAAACCGTCGTCAGATGGCCTATCTCAATAATGACATCAACGATGATATCTGATGTTTTCAGGGGTGTATCAATACTCACTTCTATGAATTTATTGACTTCCCCTCATAGTTAATCAATCTAGATAGATTGCTGGGCGTATAAATACCATCCGGCACAAACCAAATAAGATCAAAACAACACAGCCGGGAAGCGCTAAACCCCCCGGCACCTGCTAAAGCTATCTTGCCAAATGTAAATACTAATTTATTGTATATCCCGATAGATGGATGACAGGAAAGATGGATGGAGGGATGGACATAATTATTTCTATAACAAAATGTAAAAAATAATTAATTGTATATTAATAGAAATCTATTTATATGAAATTGAGTGATGACTTTTATTAAACATACATTGTGCAAGAGCTAAATCTGACTATTGCCGGTCTTTTTTTGAAGCATGAGATGTTATCTAAATTATTAATTAGACATTAATTAACTTATCCAGACCATAATCAACTCTCGATGCCATCGCTAGAGTGCGATATTTAGCAGATTGGATTACATATTTTGAAAAATAATTAAACGTAAAAATTGATAATCGAGATTTTTTTTTATCGTTCCGACTTCAGTAATTATGA